GGTTCAGACCCCAATTATTGACCAGAACAGGTCATTCTTATTTCATAAGGTAAGACTTACAGTGTGCGCAGATTGGCCAAACTACTGAACACCCTCTCTCCCACATGGCTGATGGCGTTCTCGCTAAGGTTCAAGCTCTCTAGAAGACCTAATCCCACAAAAGCAGTGTCCTCCAGTCTGGTCAGATGATTGAAGGAAAGGTCTCTGTACAAAATAAAAAGTATGTACATGTTTAAATATTAGATCAAGGAAATACTATATTACACAGCAGTGGTGTGCTGTTCAATGTGCTCCGGACACAGAATATCCAGCATAAAAAGAGTTATTCCAGATGCTAAGAAAACACACTCACAGCTCCTCCAGCTTTTGGCAAAACTCCCATGCATCTGGTCGGATGATGCCCACGGCATTCTGGCTCACTCGCAGGACACGCAGCATGCGCAGGCCGTATAACCAACCTTTGTTGACCTCCGTTAGGTTGTTGTGCTCAAGCTCTCTGAAACATAAAACCGTGTTTAACAATCTTTGACATTTATGGCAAAGACGACAAGTAAGAAGCAGTTGATGGTGGTCTCTTATGGGGGGGAATTACTCTACAAGTTACTCACAGTTCTTCCATGTTAATGAGCCCAAAAAAGGCCCCATCCATGAGTTTGGTGATGCCATTTCGTTGCAACTTCAGTGACTGCAACGCTTCCATCCCTTTGAACGTCAGGCTGTCGACGATCCTGATCTTGTTACGCTTCATTTCACTGATGAGTTGTGATAGAGATAAAGGAAATTCAGTCAGTTAAAGAGTACAAACATACATAATTTCTAGCGATGTCTCAATCACAGTTTTTGCACACAATTCAATTAACGGGCTAATTTTAGAACATTTTATTACATAAGACGCACCCGGTTATAAGATACATTATCTTTGTGAAGCATGTTATGTTAAATGGTTCATTCAAATTTTACACTAAGTTTCTTTGACAGATTTAGCATTATCATGCTCGGTTCAGAACGGACACGAAATATCAGGTAGTGATGCA